ATTAAAAATTTTAATTAATAAAAAAAAGAAATAAAATTTTTTAAAATTAATAAAATAATGAAAATAAAAAATAAAATAAAAATAAATAGAAATCAAAAAATAAAAATAAAAAACAAAGAATATAAAATTTAAAAAAATTTATAAATATTGAAAAAATAAAATAAATTAAAAATTAAACAATCAAAATTTTAAAAAATTAAAAATTAAAAAAATAATTAAAGAATTTTTAATTAAAAATTAGAAAAAAAAAATAATAAACTGGATTGATTTATTCATTTTAATTTTAGTCAAAAAATGTCAATCAATGGCTCGTGCTTGCCCCCTCAATGTTTCCATTCACATAGTAATTAGATCTAGTGCTTTTAAAGTACTTACTTGTTTAATATTCAGTGGTCTAATGAGAACAGATTCAAGATACTCTGACATTCTATTCACCTCATGAACTTTTTTCATAGACATACCATACTGCCCTACACAGGATGGGTCAGGGGGTGGGGCAGGGGGAGGGGCTTCCTGACTCTGATCAGACGAGAGTAGCTTTAAACTTTGAATGGATAAAAGAAAATCACCTAAAACAAGTAAAATGAAAATTATATTAATTTAGGTAAAATTTTTGAGCAACTTTAAAATTCATAACAAATTCAATCTTGATCAGAATCAGCTCAAACTTTCTACGCAACGTAAGTATATGTATACGTATCAGAAAAAATTATAAAAATTAAAATTTTTCTCCTTTTCAATTTTGGTGAAATTTGGCCAAAGTCCCTGTACTATAGTACAGGGACTTTGGCCCAATTTTAGAGCAACTTTAAAAATTCATAAAAAATCTAATCATGATCAGAATCAACTCAAACTTTCTACACAACGTAAGTATATGTATATGTATTAGAAAAAAATATTAAAATTAAAATTTTTCTCCTTTTCAATTTTGGTGAAATTTGGCCAAATTCCCTGTACTATAGTACAGGGACTTTGGCCCAATTTTGGAGCAACTTTAAAAATTCATAAAAAATTTAATCTTGATCAAAATCAGCTCAAACTTTCTACGCAACGTAAGTATATGTATAAATTATAAAAATTAAAAATTTTCTCCTTTTCAATTTTGGTGAAATTTGGCCAAAGTCCCTGTACTATAATAGTACAGGGACTTTGGCCCAATTTTGGAGTAACTTTAAAAATTCATAAAAAATCTAATCTTGATCAGAATCAGCTCAAACTTTATACAAAGCATAAAGGACATGCATATACATCAGAAAAAACTATAAAAATTGAGAATTCTCTCCTTTTCAATTTTATCAAAATTTGGCCAAATTCCCTGTACTATAGTACAGGGACTTTAGTCTAATTTTAGAGCGACTTAAAAAATTCGTTAAAAATCCAATTTTGAGCTCAAAATTTCTAAGCAACATATTTAAGAACATGTGTATGCATCAGAAAAAAATTATAAAATTTAAAGTTCTTCTCTAACAAATATTAAATATAAGGTTCTAACCTAAGGAGATGCTGCTAGTACTAGATCTACTCTCAGTATGAGCCTTTGGATACAAGAAATAGTCATCCTGCGATAGAGACAAGAGATCTTTCTTCCATCCCTCAGGTATCAGCCTCTCCCAATGATTTTCAGTAAAATAATCTACGCTGTGTGACTCTGTAATACTCTTGTACTGGCTTATAAACTGGTACAAATCCAATAGTCTTCTAGCAGTGATGTCTTTACCATGCTTCCATTCCATTGAGCCACACCTTTCAATTGGGAGGGACCTATATCTAGATTCTAGTCTATCTTTAAATTACAGTGCAGTACTGCAGCAATGGGTGCTAATGCTCTTAATACTTATACAGGTCTCCAACAATAGAAAGAAGAATCCAATCCAACTCTCTACCCAACATAAGAACATGTATAAACAATTAAGCAATCAAAATGTAGATGATGATATGCATGTTTAATAGCAGAATAATAGATGGAACTGGTGCGTATGTGCATAAATCTAGCTTGATCTAGTGGCACTTGCAATATAGCTATAAGCTAAATAGCTGCCCCTGACATTTTGAATCGAAATTTATCTAGTATTTTGTTTAAATAAAATGGGCAGATCTACTGCATGCCACTTTACTTCTTCTGAGAATAGAGCTGTTGCCATGTGGATAAATTAGTCCTGTTGCCTGTTAGTTTGGTTTCATTTATGCTTATTTAAATTGAAAAAAATAACAGGGCAGAAAATTAAAAAAAAACAAGGTAGAAAAGTGAAAAAAAAAGTCTGCGACACCGGCGATTCCTAGGCGGTCACCCATCCAAGTACTAAGCCGGCCCGACGTTGCTTAACTTCAGTGTTCAGATGGGAACTGGTGCTTTCAACGTGGTATGGCCGCAGACACTAAAAGATTGAACCAAATCGAGTATTAATTGTATCTATGAAACACAGACTGCATTTGACAATCTGCAGTTCAAAGTAAGCAACCGCACAAATCTACATCTATATTGTCAAGTAATTCATAGGCCAGAGGCTGTGGCATACAAATTGTGATGAAAATATTTATTATTAATTTTGAAGAGATTATTAACCACAAAACTAGCACTACACATTAGAATTGAGTCTATATAATTTAAGTATAATATTTACTTTAATCAGGCTGTTATGTCACAATCAATGAATGTAGGATCTATTAGTAAAATTACATTAATAAGTGTATACACACACAGTTGCTATTGCTGTACCTATCACTGGTCTGTTAACTGGACTCATTACTGCAATAATTACTAGTATCATATGTTTAATAATGAAAAAGAGATTGACGAACTAATATATAAAATAAGCGGGAAAAAGTTAACAATCTCTATAGATCTATTTAGCATAATATAACATACAGTCTGCAAGCAATTATCCCAGTATTGCATTGACTATAAGATTGAATATCCATGTAATCATAGATAATACAAACATACATCCACAACATATGCTTAATTGTTATGACAGACATGAGTATAACCACAAGGTGCAACTGTTGTTAGTACAAAGAAGAACAACTTTGAGTAATAACAGTATTTCAGTTCTCATTTCTCTTACTGATATACTAATGGCTACTACTGGTATCTACTGGTGTCTTGTATTGACTGAATGCTTGAGTCTTGTCACATGTGGTGAGTTAATAAGATTATTGTACTGGGCTATTATTAAAATGTATAGCATCATTGGTACAAACTATTCCACCATACCCTACTCCTGTGTGTCCTGGTGGTAGATTAGTGCTCACTTGTACAGCTAGTACTAATGGTGTAGTAAGGTGGATAGGAGATTCTGGTACACATGCTATAAGCAGTAATGGCACTCCAATAATGGTAGATAGTTTCAATGTAACAGCTACACTAGTTGATGGTGCAACAGTAAGTTATGCTACAAATGAATCAGTACCAGTACAACTAAATAAAACTACTGTTAGTTGTTCAGATAAAGATAATGGTGAATTAATTTATAGTGTAGTGACTATTTATATAACGGGTATTGTTATTGTAATTATTCATTATTATTATTATATTTTTTTATTAATGCATTATTTAGATATACAAGAAGCAGTTACTAATGTAGAAATTGATCCAATTGATAGTAATACATTAATCATTAATTGGAATGGATCAGAGCTATGCATAGACCATTATAATGTTACTATTAATAGTAACAATACACTTAATGAATCCAGGACTACTAACGACACTAATATAACTATTGATACTCTGATTGTTGGCACTAATTATTCATTTATTATTATTCCTATTGATACTATTGGAAGAGAAGGACCTCCTTCATCATTAATACAGTATATATGGAATGGTAAGTACTATACACACATACACTCATTGTATTTCTTATAGTACCAGCTCAAGTTGTTAATATTAGTTGGTATCAGATATCAACTGATAGTATTACAATATGGTGGAATAACAATGAAGTAAGTTAAAATAATAAGAATAATTTTTATGATGTATTAAAATAGGACTCTACTATACCACATCCTCCTACTCAGTATTACATTATTAATGTATACAATACGTCTAACAGTATTAATACAAATAATACTAATGTTACTATTACTGGACTACCTCTTGCTGATACAAACTACACTGTTACTATCATACCTGTTAATGTTATTGGATATGGACCATCAGTCACTGTTAATGGTTAGTTCAGTGCCACATATGTTTACATTAGTCTCATTGTTATTTAGTCAGTATAATATCCACTATGACAAGTAGCTCAATACTATCTAGTAGTGTGGCATCAGGTAGTGTCTGTTTATTTATTAATTCATTATCATTTGTGCATATTATTCTATTAGTTACATTACTTACTGGTACAAAAACCAGTGCATCATCAATGCATGTATCATCTACTTCAAGTAAGAAATGATAAAAATACTAATAATAATAAATAGTTGAATTACAGTATCCTTCACACCATCTTATACTATAGCATAGCAACAAGTATTAATGATTATTTTATATAAATAACTCTATTTATAGGAACAGTTAGAGTATCTTCCAGTATTGAGTCATCACTGCATACTAACACAATGAAAAGTTCATCAGCTACCACTGGACTCACAACTGGGGCATCAATTATTACTAGATCTACTGTTAGTACATCTGCACTTTCATCAACAGTGATACCAGTATTACCACCAACCAATCCCACTGCTAGTGGCTTTAGTGCTGTTCGCATTATATTAGGAGCTATATTGTTATTATTATTAATTGTTGTAATAATAATAATAGTAACAATAATATTGGTAGTCAAGAAGCAAAAAAGTAAGTAAGCAGTGTATTAATGTATCATTATTTATTATTATTTATACAGGAAACAATAAATTATCTAAAAAGTAAGCACGATAATTTTATTTATATCCAAATATTATTTTAACATGTAGGGATGATACTAATACAGCTAATCCTATATATGATGAGATTATTGATACATCAGCTCCTACAGTACCAATATATGATACACCAATGGAAATGAATGATGACATTAATATAAAAACTAAAACTCCTTATGGTAGTCCAACAGTTAATAAAGATACAATTGATACACACACTAATGCAGCATATGGACAAATAATGTTTGGTGTGAACTAATTATCATACTTATATTGATATAACATTAGTTGTAGCTAGTTGAAATTATTTGAATGCCATGTATACATTTAAAGTAATGTGTTGACAGCCTATAAGACCAGACGACCAGATGGAGTTGATCAATAATATCAAACACAGTTTAGGTATTGGTTGCATGTGTGTTATTGAAAGAATAACAACATGTTATTCCAACCTGTCTGTAAGTAGAATAGGTTTATTTTATACATATTACACTGTTCAGTTCTTTATTTCTTTCATTGATACTAATTGCTGCTACTGGTGTTTACTGAATGTTTGAATCTTGCTGTGTGTGCCATGGTAAGTTAATAAAATTATTGTACTGGACTACTATCTCTGCAGCATCATTAATTGGTACAAACTATTCCACCACACCCTACTCCAGTCTTGTGTGTCCTGACAGTAAATTATAGAGCTCATGTACAACTAGTACTAATAGTCCAGAGATCTATTTCTAGCAAAGGGAATCCAATAACAGTTGATAGTTTCAATGTAACAGCTGTACATGCTATGTACATGTGTATTACACACATGTGCATGTACATGTAATACATAAACATATATATACATGTATTTGTGTTGTGTAGAAAGTTTGAGCTAACTCTAATGAAAATTGAATTTTTAATGAATTTTTAAAGTTGCTCAAAAGTCAGGCAAACAATCAAAGGCTATAATGTAACATACAAGTAAACTATCCCAGTATTGTATCTACTATAAGATTGAATACTATGGACATGTAATCATGCATGCAGAACAGTTATGATAGCATGAGTATAACCACTAGTAGATGTAGGTGTAACTGTTGCTGGCACAGAGAAGAACAGTTTTGAGTTAAGTGAGTAGTTGCTTATTGTTTATGTGTCATAACAGAATTTCAGTTCTCATTTCTCTTATTGATACTAATGGCTAGTACTGGTATCTACTGGTGTCTTGTATTGACTGAATGTTTGAGTCTTATATCTGGTAAGTTAATAATTATTGTGCTGATTATATAAACCGTGTATAGGATCATTGGTACAAACTTTTCCACCATACCCTACTCCTGTGTGTCCTGGTGGTAGATTAGTACTCACTTGTACACCTGATAATCCTAATTATGAGGCAGTAATCTGGAGAGGAAATTCTAATACTGTACAAGCTATAGGCACTAATGACAATCCTGTAACAGTAGACAGTTTCAATGTAACTGCTGGACAAGTTGATGGTGTATTTGTAAGTTATGCTACAAATCAATCAGTACCAGTAGAACTAAATGGAGCTAATGTTAGTTGTTCTGGTGATATTGGATCTACTTACAGTGTAGTAACTATTAATGTAACAGGTATAATATTATTGTTATCACTTTTAATGTTACATTATTTTAGATATACCACAAGCAGTTACTAATATAAAAATTAGTCTTAACAATAGTTTATTATTAATTAATTGGAGTGCTTCAGGACCGTGTATAGACAACTATAATTTTACTATAATTAGTAACAGCACATTTAATGAATCCAGGACTACTAACAACACTAATATAACTATTGATACTCTTATTATTGGTACTAATTATTCATTTATTATTATTCCTATTGATACTATTGGAAGAGAAGGGTCTCCTTCATCATTAATACAGTATATATGGAATGGTAAGTACTACACACACACACACACACACACACACACACTTATTGTATTTCTTATAGTACCAGCTAAAGTTGTTAATATTAGTTGGGATCAGATATCAACTGATAGTATTACAATATGGTGGAACAACAATCAAGTAAGTTAAAACTTCATTTATGATAATAATAAATCTTATTAGGATACTACAACATTACATCCTCCTATTGAGTATTACATTATTAATGTATACATTACAACAATTTGTATTAATAGTTGTTCTGTGTACAGTTATAATGTAACAGATACTAATACTACTATTACTGGACTATCTCCTATTAATGAATACTACACTGTTACTATCACACCTGTTAATGTTATTGGATATGGACCATCAGTCACTGTTAATGGTATATAGCATCAGTACCTAATATAATGTATAGATACATATAATTACTATAGTCAGTATAACCACTACTACATCAAGTATCACTAACATTATGATGAGTACTACTGAGTATATCACAACACAAGATAAAAGCTCAGCTATGACAGCATTACCAACCATCACGATTACAATGACTGAAACAATCAGTAGTTGTACTGACAGTAAGTTATAATGATCAGGACACAGTGAACATATTGTTCATTAGGTTATTCTTTGTGTATTACCACAACAATGTCACAATCAACAGATGTAGGATCCATTAGTGGTTAGTTAATACATTAAGTGTATCTTATCTATTACACACACAGTTGCTATTGCTGTACCTATCACTGGTCTATTAACTGGACTCATTACTGCAATAATTACTAGTATCATTGTATGTTTAATAATGAAAAAGAGAGGGACTACAATACAAAATAAAACTCCAGTAGGAGGAGGAGGAGAAGCAGCAGTTATTGGTCCAATATATGATTTACCAACAATCAATACTGAACAACAAGAACAAATTATTGATACTAAACTCAACACTGCATATGGACAAACTAATATATAAAATAAAGGAAAATTCAATAATCTCTAAAGATTAATGTAATGCACTGCTTGCAAACCAATATTTCATTGCCTAAGGTTTAATATTCACATGTAGATCTACTCATGCATGCACAGCATATGCTTAATTGTTATGATAGCATGAGTACACCACAAGTAGGTGTGTAACTGTTGTTGGCACAGAGAAGAACAACTGCTTACTGTTTATGTGTCATAACAGTACTTCAGTTCTTACTTCTCTTATTGATATACTAATGGCTACTACTGGTATCTACTGGTGTCTTGTATTGACTGAATGTTTGAGTTTTCTTGTATTAGGTCAGTGAAAAGTCTTAAAGCATTGATTTATGTTTTGATATAGTAACAGGACAAAGTGTTGTCTCATTCAATCACACTCCTTATCCAGTTGTGTGTCCTGGAGATACACTAGTGTTCACATGTGCAGTAGAAGGAGGAGGAGTAGCATGGAGAAGAAATAATGATAACAATCCTGCAA